TCATATATAAATAAAAAAAAAAAGAAGACTTGACTATCAAGAAATAATTGCACTGATTCTGAAACATCTGTAAATGCAAACAATGTGCAAAGCCTATCTCTTTGCTAATCTTGTTACAAACAAAAATATTGAAAACAAATAAGAAAAGCAGTTCATTATAATAATTTGGTAAAATTAAGTGATTAAACATAAAGCACTAGAGCTAGATAAAATCATTCTTAATGTGTTTGAACAGCATTCTTATATTTTCTATAATTCAAAATCTTAAACTTCTTTCATTCCCTTGTATTACTCAAATAAGTCAGCAACTTGAAACTGGAGACTAATTGAAATAAAATCTATCCAAAAAAGGTCATGTCTTAAAGTCAGGATAAGGCCATTTCCTCAAGAATTCCCATAGTTATTTAATGCCCTTTGTTGGAGAGGGCTGTGTCATCGATACACTAATTACCAGTTCAAACAGACAGCAGGCATCAAGTGGAGAGATGGCCCTGAGAGAAGTCATGAAAAGTAGGTCTTTCTCCAATGTACTCCCCAAGGGATAAATCACTTTTTGTTGTAAAAGATTAAACTTTAAACCCATAAATATGACTGTGTTCTGCTCAACAGTTCATAGTATACACCACACACACCACACATTTTACAGCCCCAAATGTACATCAAATATGGCTCAAGTCTAGTGACTGTAATCTCAACCCCACTGATATTTTTGTGAGAGGTAGGCAATAATCACTCAGCAGGAGAGAATCACCACTTTTGAAACAAACACAGCTTTCAAAAAGTTGGTTTTAATCTATTATAGTATAAAAGCAAACAAGAGCAAATGTAGGTCAACTTGATAGATGATTCTGTTCTGTTTCTCAGTACCTTTTTCTGTAAAAGGGCTCTTAAGAGTTCTCTCATTGTGAGGGGCGCCTGAGTGGCGCAGTCGGTTAAGCGTCCGACTTCAGCTAGGTCACGATCTCGCGGTCTGTGAGTTCGAGCCCCGCGTCGGGCTCTGGGCTGATGGCTCAGAGCCTGGAGCCTGTTTCCGATTCTGTGTCTCCCTCTCTCTCTGCCCCTCCCCCGTTCATGCTCTGTCTCTCTCTGTCCCAAAAATAAATAAACGTTGAAAAAAAAAAATTAAAAAAAAAAAAAAGAGTTCTCTCATTGTGATAACGGGGTGTATGAAATGCACGTCCCTTTAAAAATAATTTAAAGTGGTTTAGCATTCTATTCATCAATTAAAAATGGTAAGTTTTCTAAGGCATAAGTTGTTATTTGATAATATTCCATAAAACTACTAACTTTAGGAGCTCTCATTCTTCACATTCTTCCATTCCTTTCACATGAACAAGTAATACAAAAATATGAGCAGGGGCTCAGGTGGTGGCTCAGGTGGTTGAGCGTCCCACTGGTTCAGGTCATGATCTTAAGGTTTGTGAGTTCAAGCCCTACATGGGCTCTCTGCTGTCAGCACAGAGCCTGCTTTGGATCCTCTTTCACCCTCTCCCTCTCTGCCCCTCCCCTGCTCATGCTCTCTCTCTCTCTCTCAAAACTAAATAAACAAAACAACAACAAAAAATGTGAGCATATCAGTCAAGTTAAAAATGCAATGACTCACAAAAAGTGAAGAAACTAAAACAACCTCTAGGTATCTCCATCTGCAACAAAGATATGTCTTTGACTGATTCATAATTTCCCAATTACCTCATCTGCAAGATAAAAGTTTTGTATAGTCTGTGATTTTGAAGATTAGTTCCGGCTTAAACATTTTGTGTTTCTAAAAATTCTAGGAGATACATGAATTTGCTGGTGAGATACGGTCTGTTTCAATACAAATAAGCAGTTTTGTTATTTGATTATCTTCCTATAAATCATGAAATTAAATCACACACAAAAATTAGACACTATACAGTATTCTTGTTTCAATATTTACCATTATGCATCAAATATAGACTATTGCAATATTCAGTATAAAATCACTCATACTGGGGTTCCTGGATGGTTCAGTTGTTTAAGGGTCTCTTGATTTCGGCTCAATTCATGATCTCACAGTTCATGGGATGGAGCCCCACACCAGGTTCAGTACTGTCAGCAGGAAGCCTGCATGGGATTCTCTTCCTCTCCCTCTCTCTCTGACCCTCCCCCACTGGCTCACACATGCACGCACACACTCTGTCTCTCAAAATAAATAAATTAAAACTTAAAAAAAATCACTCATACTGCCATTTGAAGAACCACCACAATTTGAAAAGCCTTTCACACCTTCCCAACCTGATTTGGTCAGAGATATACAGCTACGTTTTATTGAGAAGGAGGTACTGAGTCTGTCACTGGCTTTCCCATATCCAGCGAACAGACAAGTGTTATTCTGAGAAACAGGATCAAGTTCTATAATAGTTAAATATATGATATAAAGAACTGATCTTGCACTTCAAAACAGGTTAATTAACCAAATTCCTTTAAAAAAGACACATTCTTAATACCCATATTTCTACCATATTTCATTACTAAGTAAACATATTCATGTACATTTTGCAACCCAATTTAATATTCATAAAAACATGATTATGAAATAAATCTAATAAAACTTAAGTGTAAAATATATATCTATTGAACGCACCTTTCCTGTAATAGAGTAAGTCTAGCTAAAACAAAAATAAAAACAAAACACAAAAACCAAGAACTGGTATGCCCAAAAACCTCACCTGAAAGTTAAATTCTGTGGTTTGGTGGGCTACAACAGTTTATTCCTGTTTGAAATAATTACAAACACAGTATTCTACTTAATTATACTTATTAAAATTTATCATATTAGAAGATAATTGGTAAACTGGAGCATTTATTTCTGTAATCTTTACTATTAGGATAATTACACGGTCATTGTTTATGATTCACTCTTCAGAAAGTAAATTACCACCTAATCTGAGTTTCCATTGTTTGATATGTAATTTATTAAAAAAGAGAAAAGAAAAGAAAAGAAACTCCTTTTACCCACTAGAATTTATGAATATAAGTGATGAAACCATGCCACTGAATGCTCTATCTTATAATCATGATTCGGTGATACAAATGTCATATGATATGAAAATGTCTAGTGAAAATTACTCTCAAGAGAGCAGCATCATAATTATTTTTATAAATGAACCCTTACTACAGAAGACTACAGGTTATAATCTAAGTGTCTAATAAAGACTAGATTGCTTTCCTGCATATAATAATTTCCTGTGGATTGGCTAATGCTGTATATTTAGTTTCATTAATTCTACTCTTTATTACAATAGGAATATGCACTGTAACATGAACCAAAACATAATCAAGTGAGCGTGCATATTTGGACAAATTGTTGAACCATTTACATGTTAAATGAATGATTAAAATATCTAATTATGTTTTACATATTCATAGAATAAAAGTGCTACGGTCTTTAGTTGAAAACTGTTTTCATCAGTGTACTTTCAAAGACTTCTCTTTCTTCTATATCAGTATCATATATTTGTGTATACTAATATAATGAAGCTTTAAATATTGATTTCATGAAAGGCAATGAATGAAACATCAAGTCTTATTTTTATCATTTTTACTTAATTCTATGGGAACAAAGCATATACTGTAGTACCTTTGGATATTGCTTGACAGGAATCAATACCCTTTCTGAGAGCTTTATGTTTTTGTTGCTGATGACATCAAGATATTTCTTTTCTTCATCTTCTTTTTTTCCATCAGAACCTTGAAATTTTTCAATTTCTGAAAAAAAATTCACAAGAAAAAAACAGTAAGTGAAATGAGAAGTCATAAATAATGCTGATTGTTCTTATTACTTGACTTCTTAAAAAAGATTTTGAAGAACCTTGATAGGACTAAACACCACCTTGTTAACAGCTACGTGAATGCTACCATATATTAAGATGACCTCTGTCAAATCTAACTAAAAAGTTATCATTGAAGATGTGACTGCCTGCCATGAAACAAATGATGAACTTAATTTTTAACATCTACAACCAAAGAAGAAGGAAGGAAGAATATGCCATTTAATTATTTAAAATATCTAAGCAAACATAACTTTCCTAAGGACAATAAATAGAATAAAATATATTTTAAGGCTAGATGTTTTATTTTTACTAAGAATTATTCCTATTCTCTATAATAGGATAGTAATGATAAATAGCATATTATTTTATATTCTAACAAAACTTCAAGGCAATTATAAAGGGGGTCATAGCAAAGTCTTCTAAAGGATTAAATCTGTAAATGCTATCATTCATATTCATCAACATGAAATTATCTGTCCATATGTTTAAGAGGAATTACTAATTTTGCCTTATGAGAACATTCCCAAAATGGATGTTTTTGAGCAAATGTACATTACCTACCTATTCTTTCGTTTTAAAATTAATTTATTCCACAAAGACTCTTAAACCTCTATTGTGGGTACCACAGATAAAACAGAAAGCAGAAAATAAGAAAATGTCCCTGCCTTTATGGAATCTATATTCTGATGGGAAAAATGAGCAATTAGAAAGTGAATATATATGTGCATGCATATTTATGTGTGGGGGTAAAAGATAAATAAAATAAAGATATTAAGACAGCTTTTTAAAGTTTTGTCAGATGGAACAAGAAAATTTTGTTTCTGTAATTTTGGAGTAAAGGAAAGGTGGTGATATTTGTTAAGTACGGAAATTCTCAATTCATATTAATTTATATTGCTTTGAAACATTTTTTAAAGATCTGACTACTTCTGGAGGTAAAAGCAATACTGTATTGCATGTAAGAGCTTTGTTCTTTGTTGTTGTTTGTAATTAGTATCTTTCCCAAAATGATTTCACATACATTACATAAAATCCCTGTAGTATTCCCAAAGATAATCTTTTAGCATATCGTTTATTTGGCTCATGTGGAATTATTAAAAAATCTTTCTGAAGTAAGATCACATTGCTTACCCACATAGTGGCTGAATGAATGCTATACAGCATGGTTTGCACAGAGTCATTTACAATCACTTTTTTTCAGGTATATACTATAATTTCCCTGAAGACAATTATCTTAGAATAAACTGTACTGTTTGAAAAAAAGTTATTTGTAATACGTCTATAATTTCTATGTAGAATGAGGACATCAGATTCTCACTATTCCACTCCAGCAAGTAATTTTAACTGCCTGTCGTTTTCAACCAAAAAGCATTCTCTATTCAGGCTTTCAATCCCGTATACAATTATTACATACAGAACTCTGACAACTGCAAAGAAATAATATTCATTATATCTTCTGATACTGACAATGAACTGTTGATCACTGCCCTTTGGGTACATGCACCTACCTAATACCATACCTAGTTTGAGGCAATTGTAATGCGGGACACAAAGACTCAATTCCCAATCTATTAAATGTATAGTTTCTCCCTTATCACTCACTCCATCACAAAATAAATTGAATTTGTCTGACATTATTTGTTCTCTACAAAACTACTACTACCCTAGGCATTTTTAAACATTTGCGATTTGATCAATTATTAATTCCAATAAATTTTCCATCAAGAAATGGAGTTGAATAAAATACCATTTCCACTGCTTTTTCTGTTCATTTCTACACTTTCCTTTTAAAAATGTTGATATGTCTTTTGCCCTTCTGATACTGTCAGGGAGTTATCTTGTCTTTCCTGACACCTCTACATGACTAACAGCTCAGTCATTGCATTTGTCAACTGGGTAGTCATGGAAAGGTATAAGCCAAATATGCCTGATTTTAAAGCCAGGAAAAGCAATGTATACAACACCTTTCCTTTTTAAATTTTACTTTAAAATAATTCTTTATTTTATAATTAATGCATGTTCATTGTGCAACATTCAGACAATATAGGTATCCATAAAGATTTAATGGTATCCATGGTCATCTAACAATAACTAAACAGTTTTGTGTAGAGGAGTTGAATAATTTTTTATATTTGTTTGTATGGCCTCTCTTTAAATTTGCCTTCCATATTATTGGGAAAACATATTTAATATACTAGGGCAGGATTATTTTTTGTTGAAAATGTTAAATTACATACATTTTAGTATCTTCTGTTCTCCTTTCACCATTTATCTATTAATGCCCATATTCATTCAAATGCCCAAATTCATTCAAGAATTTGCTTTAGCATTCATTGACTTATTTTTAGTGGCTCTCTCCATAGTACTAAAATTATGAGAAGATTACAACAGAGTTAACCTGTGGGCATCGGTGTATTCACCTTGTACCCAACTGGTTTTAGTCAGATGGAAGCTATAGTAAGAAATTATACTTTTTGTAATAAAAAAACACATAACCGTACTTTCTATTTAATAATTTCAAGTGTACAGTTCAATAGTGGTAAGTCTATTCTGTTGTTGGCTGTGCATCTCTAAAATGTTTTCAGCTTGCAAAACTAAAATTCTAGAACCGTGAAACACTCATTTTCCATCCCCCTCCCACAGGCCTTGGCAACCATCTTTTCACTATCTTTTCTACGCTTGACCACTTTAGGTACTTCATATGAGTAGAATACCACAGTTTTTGCTTTTTTATGAGTGGAGTGTTTCATTTAACATAATGTTCTCAAGGTTTATCCATGTGGTAGCATGTGTCAATATTTCCTCCTCTTTAAAGTCTATATAACATTCCATTGTAGATACATACCACATTTTCTGTATCAATGGATATCCGAGTTATTTCTACCTCTTGGCTATTGTAATAATACTTCTATAAACATGGATGTGGAAGTGTCTTTGAGATCTTGCTTTGAATTGCTTTGGACATATACAATTTTTTGGACATATACAATTGTTTTGGACATATACAATTGTTTGGACATATACAATTGTTTTGGATCATATGGTAATTCCATTTTAATTTTTTTAGGAACCTCCATACTATTTTCCATAATGACTGCACCATTTTATATTCACAGAAAGAGTGCACATGAGTTCCAATTTATCTGCATCCTTGCCAACACTTGGTTTTTCTATTCTTTTGATAGTGGTCATCCTAACAGGCATGAGATGACATCTCATTGTGATTTTTATTTTCTCTTATGTTTAGTGATCTTGAGTATCATTTCATATGCTGTTGACCATTTGTTTATCTTCTCTGCAGTATTATCTGTTCAGGTCTTTTGCCCATTTTTAATTGGGTTATGTGTTTTATTGTTGTTGAGTTGTAGAATTTCATTATACATTCTGCACATTAACCCTTTACATATATACGATTTGCAAATATTTTCTCCCATCCCATAGGTTACCTTTTCACTCTGTTGATTGTTTCTTTTGATCCACAGAAGTTTGCTTTTAGTTTGATGTAGTTCCCTTTATTTTTTACTTTTGTTGCCTATGCTTTTGATGCCATATCCAAGAAATCATTGACAAATCCAATTCTTGAAGCTTTTCCTCTATGTTTTCTTTGGAGTTTTATAGTTTTAGATCTTACTTTTAGGTCTTTAATCCATTTTGAGTTAGGTTTATGTATGATGTGAGATAAGACTCCAACTTCATTCTTTTGCATGTAGATATCCAGTTTTACAACACGATTTGTTGAAGAGACTGTCCTTTCCCCATTGTATGTTTTTGGACCCTTGTTGAATAACATCTGACCATATACACAAGGGCTTATTTCTGGGCTCTGTATTTTGTTCCACTGCTCTGTATTTCTATCTTTATGCCAGTATCACACTGTCTGGATTACTGTTGCTTTGTTATTATATTTTTGTTGTTGTTGCTTTTGTTTTCAGGGTTTGTTTTAAGTTTTTATTTAAATTCCAGTTAGTTAACATATAATGTAATATTAGTTTTGGTGTAGAATACAGTGATTCAACACTTTCATACAACACCTGGTGCTCATAACAAGGCACTCCTTAATACCCATCACCTATTTAACCCAAGCCTCTCCACTGGTAACCATCAGTTTGTTCTCTATAGCTAAGAGTCTTGGTTTCGGTTTCTGTTTCTCTCTCTCTCTCTCACTTTTTCCTTCTTGCACTGTTGGTGGGGATGCAAACTGATGCGGTCACTACGGAAAACAGTATGGAGGTTCCTCAAAATTTGAAAATAGAACTATCCTACAATCTAGCAATTGCACTACTAGGTATTTACCCAAAGAATACAAAAATACTAATTCAAAAGGATACATGCACCCCAAGGTTTATAGCAGAGTTATCTACAACAGTCAAACTACAGAAACAGCCCAAATGACCATCAACTGATAAACGGATAAAGAAGATGTGGCGTATATATACAATGTATTATATTGTGAAAACAGGTTGCAAATCTTCCAAATTTGTTCTTCTCCTTCAAAATTATTTTGGCTATTTGGAGTCTTTTAAGATTCCATATACATTTTAGAATTTTTTTTATATTTCTGAAAAACAAATGCCATAGGAATTAAACAGGGATTGCACTGAATCTGTAGATTGCTGAGGGTATTATGGAAATTTAATCAATATTCAATGTTCCACTTCACAAAGGATTCCTTCCTCTCACCTGCATCCTCCTTGATATTACTGAGTTATTTTTTATAGATTTTAGGTAAGAAGATATTTCGAAGGGAACTTTTAGTTCTGCTTTTGCTTCACTTTTTCATTTTATTTGGGCATATCATTTTAATTGTGTTTTTTCTTGTTTTTTTTTAAATTTTTTAAAACTGATTCATTTGCATATTTAATTCATTTACTTTTCCCAGCCTTTAACTTTGATATTAATTTCTCTTTTTATTTGCATTGTTTGTATTTTTATTTT